TTAGTTTGATGCAGAGTCCCCAGTACTAGCAATGAAATCGACAATTTTCGAGTGCGTATATAGTTTCGACGCGCACTGTATGTCAAGGCATAGGCGCGCATACTCGACTCGGAGGCGTAGATTTAGTGTCAATAGATTTCCCTACCCCTAGAGTTATGTCATGTAGCCATCTTAACAATTTATCTTGAAGTTTGTAAATTTTATGATGACCTTCATTCCTGCGTATGTCATACTCACTCTAATGACTTAACTTGAAGGCATATATCTTCCGCCTCCTCAAAAGCTCAATCACTTTTAATTCTGCGGCCGAAGGGGGCAAATGCAGCAGCGGCAGAGGTTCGACAATCTCCATGAAGTATGTTCGCGTGTTTGCTATTCATATGTGCGCAACAAAGACCTCTATCATAGCGAGAGTGGCGTAGTCCGCCATCTCACTTGTGTCCTGCGCGCTCAAATTATGAAGTACTGACATTTAGAAGATTGTCGTCCTTGCACTGTCCGGTGCAAAGTGACAGGTACATTTCTAGCAGCTGTAAATTTCAATTGTAACTTCTAATTTGAGACAGTCATAATCGGACACGACTTACTGTTCAAAGCCATTTGCGGTGGAGACTTTTACCGATATGCCGCCATCTATCTTTTTAAAGCCCGTCATATCTGCTGCAGATATGACACCCGGGTAATACAATTTTGGAAGGCGTCCAATTCATATTTAAATGTTAACAACATGCGTTGGTGTGTTAAATGTAGCATATTTAAATGTTAACGATAAGAGCCGAGAAAACAAGTATCATTTGCCGATGAACACAGACTCGATCAGAGAGTAGGCTTAATGACGCTAGCTGACAAAGCATTTTGATGCTGTGAGGTTGGCACTTCCTGCCAACTTACGAGATCACCTGTGATGCCAAAGTAACCAAAGCGATTCGGCATCCGGGTCTCATGGGCCTATAACACCAGGACAGAGCCCAGCAGGACTCCGCGACAAAGGGTTCGCCGGTAAAATAACAAGTGCTGCTAAGCCAGCAAACTTATGTTCTTGTGAAGGATGTTCTTTGCAGCACTCACATCTCGGTCGAGAACTGCATGACAGCTTGTACATCGGAACACGCGGTCTCCTCCCAAGTTGTATTTGGCTACACAGCAGCTTGAACATGTTTTCGACGTGTACTCCTCTTCACAGTCAACCACACGACCGCCAGTGTGCTTCATCTTGTACTTGAGCAGTTGCTTGA